AGAAAGAGAGAGAGAGAGAGAGAGAGAGAGAGAGAGAGAGAGAGAGAGAGAGAGAGAGCACTCAGCGCGAGCACTCGCGTCATCCGCGCGAAGCAATTTTGAAGTTGTTAGATTCGACGAGAGTGCTCAAATAAATTTTATTTCGTGATTAGACCGGTCTTTTTTTGACCTACCGGTTTACAATTGGTAGCGGGTTGGATAAATGGCTCTCAAACACGCAGTGTGCGCAACTTTCTTCAACTCGCTAGATAATTCGTATACGCATGAGTTCCCTCTCGCACTCGTATTAGAAATTCTCAGACTGCGGAAGCTTCGCTTTCGCATTCGTGTATACACAACACACTATAAACCAATGCCATATGGAGTGTATAATCCGATTCAATCCAAATTTTATGCGATGTCTTATCGAATAAAACAAAAGTGAAATATTCTTTAGTCCGATATTTGTGAAAACGGAAATTGCATTAAATATCTTACATTAAATTATTGTTATCAATTGTAGAAATGTGTGTATCTTGAGAAGCCGTCAAAGCCACATTTATCTAAGGAACACAGCGACAAAGAGATATTTTTGCAGAGAAATCTGGAAGAACTAATATACTTGCACGTTTAAATTCTAACTTGCTATTATAATAAATGTATCGCGAAATTATAACGTAATACCTAAGAGGATGCATAAGAAGTGAAAGACAAATTTTGCGAAAGTGGAGTAATGTCACTTCTTGCAACGATGTAGGCAGGCGAGTCTTATTCGAAGTTCCTAGATAAGAGTCTCATTCAATTAGTTGTAATGAGAGGCGATCTATATATGTATATATAGACTTTCCAAGTCATCAGCCGATTGTCGGTCGATTGATTTCCGGTGCTAAATCATTCACACTCCTGTAAGTTTAATGCGGTACGTAGTTTGCGGTGAGATGTTATATCATGTATTACAAACACGAATCTCCGTGTCTATTATAACAAATCAATCGTAATAGTTTTTTTTACGCCGTACGCACAGAAAAATATATATTCCATTCAAATATTACTTGTTTCAAATATTTCTTAAGTTTACACGGAGAGAATTTTTTTAGTAAAAATTATACTATTTTGCAATCGTGAAATAGATCACGTCATCTACATTTTCTCTTCAATATTACAAGATTTGTTTTATTACTTTTGTTTTTTTTATAACTTTACACTTTGTGTGGCAAGTAATACAAATGTGACATTTTTGCACAGTCAACGTGTTTTTTTACAACATTTCATCACATATTTGCATGCTTATCGTGTGATAGCGATGCTCTCATATACACACACACACACACGATGCTCCCATCTATTAAATTAATAGAAAGTTACATGTGATACCCGTTTTTTACACACAGTGACGTAACTCCTCGATTCCAGCATTTATCACTTCATTCTGTTTTACGAGTTTCTTCATTATCGTCGACATCGCTGCGAAATATCCTTAATAACGCGGCCTTTAGAAACGGCGATGTTATCAGATTTTCTCATCTCTTCCAAAGGTACCTACGTGAATGATAATCGCGCGAGAGACCGGAGGGTCTCTTTGCCTAATTTCCTGCTTGACACGCCGTCACAATGCCGACACAATAAGACATCTACGTCCCATGATCTCCCAGTTCCCCCGACGCGACACAAAAAAAGGCTAAGAAACGCATTTCTTTCTGATGTTATTGCGCATTATCGAGATCTTCCATATTGGCGTGATGAGCTTCTATCCACATCACGCCGCAGAATCTTGAACATTGCATAGTTTTCGTGTTGTCACTGGGACACATTCGCATAAAATATCTACACTGTAATCATCTGTTTCTTTATTTTGCAAAAGTATTAATTGTTGTTCTCACAGAATTTGTCTTAGTGCGTAATAAAGCAGATTCTATTACGTTTAATTGGAGTGTATCACGCGTTCTTTTATTCAATTTTATTAATTCGTCAATTGTGATTTTCTACATTTTAATATACATAATAATAGAGTATATGTAGACAGGAAGGTTGTTTATAATTTTTTTATATGAATTTCAAAACGCATCCGCCTTGTCTCCAATGGTTTTCTCCATTAGAAAACAAATTCTTCCATTATAGACAAGATTGATGTATTCCGAAATTCACACAAAATATCACGGACTCTCTTTGCTATGTAACTGTGATCGCGTTTAACGATCATGGATCTGTATAATTATATTTATACTTGTTGCTTTATCGTGATTGCGAATCGATAAACGTAATCGCACACGGACGATCGGCATATCGTTCTTCTCACGTTCGCGGAGGTTATTCGCTCACTTTGGACACAAGAACACTCGTGTAATATAGATCGATAATAGATCGTAGCTGACGATGCAAAAAATCTCACACGGCCTGGCTCGTGTCGCCGGCGATTGAGAAATCCACGTCGAACATAAACTGAGCGAGTGCACAATATCGCCTTTCTAACCGATACGTGGCCGGAGACTGCAGTTGCCAGCTGCAGCCAGTCTCTGCAGGTCGCGAGAACAGTCAAGACGAAAGCGGTAAAAGTAAAATTTACACGTCTGGAATAGCGTAACGTATAGCGAAGATGTATGGAATAGCGTATATCTTGTATTGCAAACATGAATCTCCGTGTCTATTATGACAAATCAATCGTAAACTTTTTTTGTACTGTACACACAGAAAAATACATATTCCATTCAATATTATTTGTTTCAAGTATTTCTTAAGTTTACACGGAGAGAATTTTTTTAGTAAAAATTATACAACTTTGCAACCGTGGATTGACATTCTATCGTAATTTATTTCCCTTTTATTCCATTTGCTACTCATATTTTAGGAACTAAAATGTACTATTAAAAAATTTGCGCTACTCATATTTTAGGAACTAAAATGTACTATTAAAAAATTTGCTATATTCCTAACGAAATTTACTATGTTCCTTAGCAAGATGGACTTTATTGACAAACTATCCTCTGATAACTAAAAATATAATAAAATTGAAAATTTATATAAAACAAACTTTTTGCGTGATTAAAGATATTCTCTACGTGGGTAAATTCTCAAATATCTTCAAAGTTTATCATAAGTATCAAATTTGTTCAAAATGTATTCTAAATCCTAGTAAGTTTAGCATTTCAATCAAAAATTAATTGAATTAAAACAAAAATTCAGTTTGTTTACCGTATAGAGTCAGATTAACATTTTCTTCGCGACAAAGATTTGTAATATTCTTGTAAAGAAGATAAATTCTTCTTTCGAGTATATGACAACGAGCTTCTCTCAAATTTGTAATAAATATATTTGAAGACTATTATCACAAAAATATCCTTTTTTGAAAATAACTATTATATGTAAAGAAAGGAATGGAAAATCTAAGTAATTTTCTTAGTAGTAAAACATTGTTCTATATATATATATATATATTTGATTTCAATATAGTTTGAACACCTTCTTCTTGATGCAGTTTGGAACGATGTCTCAATGAGATGTAACTTGTTTTTAATTAACTAATTCCTAGAAGTTAAATTGTGTCTGCTGTGTTCCGAACTGTATCTAACAAAAAAAAAAAAAAAAAAAAACAGCGCAAAAGCCGTTTGGAAACCGAGTATACTTTTCTGCACGCGATACGCGTGGGAATTTGAATATGGAAAAATGTGAACCGGAAACCTCGCGAGGTGCACTTCCCGAGGAGATGTGGGTGATACGATGGCCCGCGGCCGAGGCGGAAGTCTGCGCGCAACTCTCTAGACTGCGCTAGAACGGAAAGTGAAAATTGCTAGTGGCGATACGCTATAGTATGTTGGTTTAACGCCGCGTAATGTGCCAGTTCGGCACATGCGCCACACAGCCAGGATCCTTTTACAAACTTTGCGCGTTTATGCACTCTTGCTTATTGCTTAGTACGAAAATATCGCGCGGCCTTGAGAAATCTCGATCTCGATCTCGATTAGATCGCACGGGAGAGATTATTCGAGAGTGAAAGGTCGATGGCGTGGTTTCGCATTGTCCCGATTGCACCACTAATTTTACCTCTAATCCGATACTGCAGGACGGATTCGAGCTAATGCCGACGTGATTTTGAAAGACCTCCCGTTCGCTCGCCCGCAGTGCGATCTGGAACTTTTGTTTCGAGGTGATTACAAGGTATCAGTAGCTAAGACCTTTAAAAACGAATCAGCAAATTTGATTATTCGCTCATGTTTGAACTTAGTTCACAATCATCAATTTCTAAAGCGTTGTACTCTTCTCACGCACGAGGGCGGTGAGAAAATTAGGTATTCCGTGAGTATTCCGACGTTGCGCGAATATGTTTGAGATATCTCAGAGGAAGATAATTAATATCTCCGTGCGTAAGTTTATTAGTTGGAATACAGTGCAATTTATTAATTGGCAAACATTTTTCTCCGCCGACGATTGACGGTTGTACACATTAATCTTGCCGTAGTATCACACTCTCTAAAGCACAAGCAGTGCATTCTTTATTGAAATGTTATACTTGTAATTGATGTAATTGGTTGTAAGTGTAGTGTTGTAATTAGTAAAATTTCACTAGGAAAGGATTAGTTAATAGTAATGACTATTCTCATTATTTTGATGCATTTTGCAAACATAGACAGTGTTGTTATTTGCAAAGTGCATGGAGGCTGTTAATTACGTCGTCACAAACGCAGAAAGTTGAATTTGGTATAATTTATAACAAATTTGCATATTATAGATTTTGCAGTGAAATCTTATTTCCAATGGTAAAAATCACAGTAAGAAATAAAAAAACAGAGTAGTATAGTGAAAGTTGATTTTCACTGAAAATCAACGAATATTTATTGATTATCAGTGAAATATCTCCCTTGATTTAATCAGAAACATTTTTACTGATTCACTTTAAGAGAGTAATGTTTCCATCCTCGATTCGGGCAATATCCGATGCACGATATGTATATATATATATATATATATATACAACCACCTTAACTCGTAACTTTGTTTTAAATTTTAAACATAAATTAATAATTAATTAATTATCAAATTAATTATTAAATAATATTGCAACAATAATTTACATTTTTGCAGTGTATAGCGCAGGCGCGAACTTCGTCAAGCATAAATTAGGTAATAAGATTTGTTAATCGCACAAGCAAGCGCGCGCTCACGTGGAATAGTGAGGATGTTACTTAACCATGCCTTCTATCTAAGGACGCGCACGTAGCGTTACTCAACGCGGGAAAAATTACTCACATCCGCGGAATCTCATGGATTAACAAAGGAAAGAAAGTTGACCGTGCGGGCTGGCTGTGCGCTTTCCTCTGTCTGTCTCTCTCTCTCTCTCTCTCTCTCTCTCTCTCTCTCTCTCTCTC